AAGACCGTGTGCGTGCGTGGGTACCTACACTGGTACCAATCAATACTATGGCGACGGTCGGGGAGATGGCACCGGGGTGTGTGCATACAACACCTGGCGCATTTCATCGGGGATCGCACCGGTCGGAGAGATCGCACCAGGGTGCAACACCTGTCTGTGTGTATTTATTTCATCGGGGATCGTACCACCGGTGTTAAGGAGGTAGACCACTCAGTCAGCCACCCGGTAAAAAGTTATCCATTTACCTGGCTGAGACCGGACCTTATAACACTCTCTAGCACTGAAACCTAGCGGGAAGTAATCCCCAGGACCATCAACGTAGGGTCGCCGACTCTCTTCAGACGGTAGGGAGGATGCTTTTTCCGCTAGGATTTTTACATGCGAGTGAGTATGTTTACTCCTTTCACGCACAAGTTCTTTTCTCTTTTCTCTTTTCTCTTTTCGAATCAGAAAATAAAGAAGGTGCAGACAAGTCAGGATCCGAACTCCCGACATATTCTAGGCGACGCCGTATGTGAAGGAGGTAGACCACTCAGCCACCCCGTTAAAGGTTAACCATTTACCAGGCTGAGACAGTACCTTATAACACCGGTCGGAGAGATCGTACCGGGGTGCTTTGAAAATTCTAGACATGATTAAATTGCATTTCCGCACCGGGGTCGGAGAGATGGCACCGGGGTGAGATACAAACCCGAGGAAAAACGATCGCACCCGGTGCCAACTCTCCGACTTACGGTACATGGGAAAAATAAATACGAACACATGAAGACTGATAAACACAATTCGGAGACGCAGGGAAGATGATATCGCTGTGTGCCGCTAGGAAGCAGTAGAAAAACAAGTAGCTTCCGCTGACGCTATGAACTCATCGCTGATCCATCTTAGACTCTTTTCAAGAGATAGAGATGGATTCGTCATGTCATGAAAAATGAAAAAAATAAAATCACACTACTACTCCGCGCCGACCGCTGCTGAAATAGGAGGACCAGCAGTAGTCTGTCTACACATACATGTACTTGTCATCCACGACAGAGGAAGAGCTCGGGACGCGAATCGTCGGCGAGCCGAACAAGAGAGCCACCTTGGTGGGCTCACATTTCTCCAGTCACCCATAGAATATCGCAAGCCCTGGTACCATGGCCCCGCACCCACGGAGAGAGGCGAAGTGCTCAACGAGGCGAAGCGCTCAAATGACGTGCCCATTTCTGGCATCTAGGTTCATCTCGAGCCCCGGCGAGCTTGCGATTTGCACGAGTCCGAGCGACACAGCAATAGCGTTCTCCGGGAATCCAAACGCAATGATGAAGACGGAACCAATCCATATCCGATCGCGTCCCCAAGACCACGAGAAGCCCCCCTCGCAGTGCGTCTGTTTCTGGGTAGCCAAAGCCTTGGCGACCCCACACGAGTTGACACCCTGAAACGTATGCCACCTCAAGACGACCCCTCTTTTCGTAGACTCCTCATCGCCGTGACAAATAAATGTGAACTTCCGTCTCCGAACAAACGTAGGACAAACCGCGAAAGATGGGCTGGCAAATATCTTGGCAAATCATCTTTGTTGTCGTCACATCGTACGGGTTGGAAAAGTTTGCAATGAACGACGGACATGCGAGATCGGCCGGAACGTACCGGCAAGTTCGGAAGAAGGAAGGTCGTCAACAAGAAAGTTTTGCATTATCCTTTCAATAATCCCGACACAGCTCTACACCTTGATTCAGACCCAGAGAGACCTCAACCATAGCCAAAAATCGCGAGATATTTTCTGATCCATGGCCGAGGCAGTCCACACTACGCTTGAGTGGTGTCTGAAAGTTGTGAAACCGCTGTAGGTTTGCCAGTCAGATGCCTCGTTCTCTTTGTGATTGGAAGGGTAGACTACAGTATGGAGGAACGCCTTCTCTCGTAGTTGTGTTGTGCTGCAGGTGGGGTTGCCGCAACTACCGATTTACCAAAACCGCTGTAGGTGTCTCCGACAGCATTGTACAGCAGTGTGTGTTACGGCAACGACAGCATTGTACCACTGTGAGGGACGCGCATTGTTGCTGGATCATTAACGTGACAACCGGTCACCGAGCGACGGTAAGAACAACATAAGATCGGCTTAACTGCACTACCGTGATCGCTGTTGTGTTCGATGTACTTGGATGATTTGTTGAACTCTACGTCAGGAGGTTGAAGTACTTCTCTCTACTCAATGGATTGTCTTACTGGCCGCCCCATGTGCGCCTCCATCGCGATAGCCACGCGTCAGACTCCTGTAGGTGCACCTGAACGTTCAGGCCGTGGCTTGGCGACTATTGAAATGAAAACTTATTTGGCCGTTGCAGGTGGTGCAAGAACATCGGTACAACGAGCGGCGCACTGGGGTGCGCAATGGGGACGGGGTGGACAACAAGCGTACGGGTGCTTAGGGGGTGGATACTTGCTTGGTGTCTGGCGGTGTGTCTTAAGACATCGTCCACACGTGCCGCCGGGCCGAACGCCGAGCCGGACGAGGCCGACATCGTTGTCGTCCATACGATGGGGTTGGCCAACGACACCGTCGCGGGCACCCTTCCGCCCATAACAAAGGACTCTTCTTGCTCTGACATGCTCGCGTGGTTGCCTCCTCGATCAAGCCCGGCGGTGGTGTTCCAAGTCGTATCCGAACCTTACGCCAGCCTGGAAGCTAATTTTATCTCGAACATGGAGCTTCATTCGACATTCTCCCGGGAAAACCTGTACCTAGTGTGCCTCGACGAGGAATCTGTGGCGATTTTCGACGGCCTGGGGATACGTTGTGTTCGGTATGGCTGCTTGGGATGCCCAATGTCACGCCTCGATGTATGGGTGCTGAGGGTTGAAGCCACTTTATGTTTGTTGAACGCTGGCCAAGACGTATTGATGTCGGATGCCGATGCAATATGGCTCCGCGATCCGACGAATGACTTCGCTTCAGATCTGAATATGGACAGCAACGTTGTTGCGTCGAGGGCCGTAATGCCTTTCCCGTTGTATCACAAGTGGGGAGCGACTGTCTGCATGGGTTTTGCGTTCTTTCGGGCTGGTGGCAGCGCAATGCAGGCGTTCATGACGGTCGTCGGGGAAATCGTGAATGAGTTGGGAGACGACCAAAAAGCTGTGAATGAAGCGTTGGATAAACTCGGTGTTGTTTGGGATCCAACGAGTGACATGGACTTCACGAACAGCACTCGACCAGGGACGGGCGTAATTGAAAATATTACTGCTAATGGGGATCCATTGAAAGTAACTCTGCTGCCGCACAACAAGTACACACGAAGCTGCCGACGGACACCAATTTCAAACGACACTATCGTGGCGCACTGTGTCAGTAGTGACAAAGGAGAGGGGATGGCTACATGGATGAAGGAGGCACATCTGTGGAACCTTCCCGACGATAACGACAGCGGCAGAGATTGATGAGATGGGCGAGGTTCGTGTCGTAGGCACTGACATATGATGTCAACGGTTGGGTAGTGCGACAATCGGTCGCGAAAAGAGTTTGCCGGCATATGCATGAAAGCCATCGAAGAAGTCCTTGTTGCTGTTTGAAGTGAACACTACTAGTCTACATCGTTCTTGCCGTAGGTTCGTTGGTGTTTTGTTATTGTTGAATGTTCGGTGGTAGGTGTTGGATGGTAGCGTGCGAGGAGATAGATGCTCGGTGGTGGATTGGTGTGTAATAAATAGGTGTAAGCAGAACACTGATCTATGGGGCAAGGGCCTCAGAGTTAGATACCCAGTCTTAATAGGTGATGACAAAAGTAGTAGGTGAATGCTATGCGTAACATGGGCGTGACGCGCTAGAGGTTGTTCTCTCCTCGCCCAGACTCTACCGAAGGAACTTGAGTCACTCCTCTGCTGTGCAAGACGCTCTCGACCAGAATGTGATTGGAGCGTGGTATGCTGTATACTTATATATATGTGGTGTGCGTTTTGCCCGCGTCGGAAGAGAAACTTTCTGGAGGTACATTTTGTATGCTCCACCTGTTCGTGAAAATGGTGTGACTAGCGACATATGCCGTGAGGTCACATGGTAAAGGACGGAATATTAATGTCCAGCGAGTCTGACGGTTCCGAGATAACCAAAACAAGGATTGCTCCTGTGGCAAAGCACCAAGGTCCAGGGCAGTCAAGAGTAGAGGGAAAGCATCCGGGATCCATCAATCTGTTGAAGGACCGTTCACTAATACCCATTTCTTCAAGTGGAAGAACCGGAGTTTGTCGAACAGAGCTCGTTTGCATGCATGCAACCTGCAATCAATCCGTCCCAGTCATCTGCAACAAATATAGAAGTACTTGTTCATGTAATATTTCACGGAATTCCATGAAACGGATTGCATGAAACGGTCCATGCACTTCCATGCATGGTTGGCCTAGCCTTCTAAGACGTGACTTAGAAAACGTCTAACTCCGTTTCCACAGGAGAGTCACGTCTACCCCCCAACATTGCGGCTAGGTACGTCTTACAGTCTTGTTCAGTAATGGGGGATGCGACTGAGTGCCTCTTAAGGAGCGGTCTTGACGACTTAACAGGACGTGAAACACAAGAAGGAGCAGCTCTCTATCTCTCTTTCGCCTTCCGTGCTACATCTTTCTCTCTCCAACCATCTCTCTCTCCCCTCTGTTCTCCGCTGAAGTGTGTGTGTGTGCTTTTATTATTAGCATCGACCGCGCTAACCGGCTGACCAAT